ATTAGCATAATAGGCCACACCCAACAGCAGGAACGCATTAGCATATTGGGCCACACCCCTGACAGCACAGCTCATTAGCACATTAGGCCGCACCCCCATGTTACCAGAAGTGTGGTCATCCAGCCACACCCACCTTTTGCTTCTTATTCTGTTTACCTTGTTTGTTGTCCAAACCCAGGGCCTTTTTTTGTAACAGGAACTCCTTTGCATGTTAGGCCACACACCCCTAATGTAGCCAATCCTAATGAGTTTCTGATGTTGGGTGTGGCCTGTTATGCTAATGAGTTCCTGCTGGGCGTGGCCAACTTGGGAGCCAGCCGGAACACCGTTCCTGTGCGTTCCTGCCCAAAAATAGCCCTGGCTGGGGGGGGTGGGGAGAAGAAGTGCTAAGGGCTATTAAGGCAGCCTGAAATTGGACCTTCTGACCAAGGAACCTTGCCCCATCGCTCCAGAAACCACCTCCTCCCAATGCAATCCTTTCCATCCAGCAAGAGCTTAACTACATGAGACACCATTCCTCTGTCCGTCCCCAGGTCTGCTGAGGGTCTCAGACTGGCTCTGGGAGTTCGGGATAAGCGTTAGATTCTCAGGCATGTGGGGGAAGGGTCAGAGCAGGACTGCAGTGCTTGAGAAGAACTGACAGCTCTGCTGATCCCTGCAGCCTGGAGGTCGGTTGTAATTCCAGGAGAGCTCAGTTTTCCCTCTAAGCTGAGTTGGTGTGAGCCGGCTCACAGTTTGTTAGCCTCCGGCTCACACATCTTTTGTCTCCGCTCGAGAAGGAGGGCTCCAGAGCAAACTGATTTATGCAGGAGCCCAACAGCTCGCTCACAACTTTAATACCAGGAGCTCCCAAAGTAGAATGTTTGCTCACAAGACTCCACAGCTTAGAGGGAGCCTCGGCTCCAGGCCCCAGTTGCAAGTTGTCAGCTTGACGCCCGCTAGATCCTCCCTCCAGGCAACAGAGCTACATGCCCAAGGTGGCACCGAGAATAGCTAGACCACTCCTGAGAGTCAAGGTTCGTCGAATTTTGCTTTCCCTTCGATATGGTGTGGTAATAAGGTGCAAAGCCCGTGACTTGTGATTCCATAGGCCCAGCATCCCATCATCACCCAGAGCTCATGGTGGCTGGTCTTTTGGCCTTGTGAGAGGCACTTGTCCTTAAGCAGTGTGAATGTCTAGACAGGGGGACACGTGTCATAGTTCACCAACCGGCATTCAAAGCCCGTGCTCTGCCCCCAAAGATGTGAAGCGCCAATAAGAAGAACCTATTTCTGAGCACGTGTAGAACTACCCACAAAACATCTGGGGGTTTTGAGGCAGAACTTCCAGAAAAGAAGAAATTACTTCCAAGGCTATTTGTGGGCAGGAACGCACAGGAACGGAGTTCTGGCTGGCTCCCAAGTTGGCCATGCCCAGCAGGAACTCATTAGCATAATAGGCCACACCCAACAGCAGGAACTCATTAGGATCGGCCACATTAGGGGTGTGTGGCCTAACATGCAAAGGAGTTCCTGCTACAAAAAAACCCTCTGGGTTTTGGCAACAAACAAGGTAAACAGAATAACAAGCAAAAGGTGGGTGTGGCTGGATGAGTACACTTCTGGTAACATGGGGGTGCGGCCTAATGTGGTAATGAGCTGTGCTGTCAGGGGTGTGGCCCAATATGCTAATGAGTTCCTGCTGTTGGGTGTGGCCTATTATGCTAATGAGTTCCTGCTGGGCTTTTTCTACAAAAAGAGCCCTGATTTACTTCTGAGAGGGGATTAATATCAGATGTTCTCATTTCAGAGCATGTAGGCCCATGCTAAGTTCTCAAGGCCCAGCCTCAGGGTTCGTCACATGGCCAGCCACAGCCGGAATTTCAGCTGAAATTGAAACCAAGAAGTGGGACCGGCACTGTTCCTTCTGTGAACGTCGGTTGGCCACATCAAAATTGCTGGAGGATTTGCGAGGGAATGTTCCCTGGATGGCAACCAGCCTGTGGAACAGAAGAGAGTCCATCCACGCTTCATGCCGTTCCCGGTATAACAGCGGCGTCTTTGTTGAGAGAAGGAGCTACCAAGCGCCAGGAGGAGAGGCGTCCTGCCAGAAACCTGCAGAGAGGCAAAACTGCCTCTCGGGCCCTCCTCTGCTCCAGAGAGTCTCAAAAGGTACGGCAAGCGTCTTAATGAGCTGTGAGCCTGTAAGATTTTCTATAATCTTATATTAATTTCTATATTAAAGATCATTTCTCGAAAACAAAACTCTTACTTCCCGGCTGACCCATGGAATGGAAAACAAAGCTCCAGGGATAATCCGTTTGAAAAACATTAAGTAAGTCGGCAAAAAGAAGAGGTTGGTTTGGTTGTGGGTCGTGTTGCCAACTCTTGGAAGGCCCAAATCTGCCAAGTGGGCCTCCACTTAGGGGTGGAGCCTGGTCCAAGGCCCACCCACTCATGGGCGGGACCAGAGATCCCTCTAAGTTGTGGAGTCTTGTGAGCAAAAATTCCACTTTGTGAGCCACTGGCTTTAAAGTTGTGAGCAAGCGATTTGACTAATGCATGAATTAGTCTGCCCTGGAGCTACATCCTCCCTGGGCTAAAACAAAAATGTGTGAGCCAGAGGCTAAGAAACTGTGAGCTAGCTCACACTAACTCAGCTTAGAGGGAACACTGGGTGGGACCAATGATTTCAAGGGCAGAGCTCGTGTGTCATGCCCAGAGATCAAAGGGCAGAGTGACCTAAAGTGCACCCCCCCCCCTCTGGCTAAGGAGATATAAGCTGGCGAAAGGGAAGCAGAAAAGGCAGCCAGAGACAGCCGTAGTGTTTAGCGAAGCTGCTTTAGAGGTACAGAAAAGCCTCTGGGGAAGATGAAAGGGAACATTGGCTGCCAGGCTTGAAAAGGTATGGACACAGAAAATCCCTTTGGATTATAAGGCAGTAAATAGTTACAATCCAGCCTCGCCTTCCTATTCTCTCAGTTATATGGGGTGTGTGGAGAAACCCTCTCACCTGAAAACTAGCCAGAAAGAAAACACGCAGTCCTTCTGGAGCCATATAAGACGTTTGCTGGGTAGTCAACTTGCCCCAGTTTTCTCCCTGATTTGCACCAATCCTGCCCTGGGCACTTCCCATTAAAAGGGGTACGAGCAGAGGTCATTTCGGGGGGGATCGCAGTTCCCCCGGGTGAAGTACGGGGGGCGGGGCACATGACGAAGCCCCGCCCCCTGCTTCCGGCCGCCCCGCTTCCGGCCCTCATTCAGCCAGGAAGAGGCAGGAGAAGAGGGAGGGTAAGTTGCTTCCTCCCTGCCTCTCCCCACCCCTGCCTGCCTGGGGCCAGGGAGGGCCTTCGCGGGGCTTCCTTGCACTCCCGCCGGCCTTGCAGGTCCACCGCCGGGCCCCTCATGGGGCTCGGCAGTGGAGCTGCAAGGCCGCCGCCGGCAGCCGGGACCGTTGGGGGCGGGGTGTGTGGCCTTATGACACACTTCCGGTGATGTCAGGGGGTGTGGCATATGCTAATGAGTTATGCTAATGAGTTCCCCTAGCTCTTTTTCTACGAAACGACCCCTGGGTATGAAAGTAAAACTGAGAAAGACTGTGAAAAGTCAGACTAACCAGTGCTAAGCTAGGCAGACCAACGGTCTGATTCGGTTCATACACCATGTTCATACGTCTGGTTGAGGTCTTTGCCAGGCGAGTAGGATTATAAGGTTGGCAACATCCAGTTGGAGCCTGGGGAGATCCTGGAATTGCAATTGATCTCCAGCCTGCAGAGACCAGTTCCCCCTGGAGAAAATGGCTGTTGCAGAGGGTAGACTCCATGGCATTAGAGGCCCTCCCCCTGCCCAATCCCCACCCTCCCCAGACTCCACCCCCAAATCTCCAGGAGTTGGCAGCCGTAGGGAGGACCCTCCCCATACATCAAGCCCCCTTTCCCCTCTGCCCCCTTCCAGTCTTATTAGGAAGAATTCAAACTCACCAGGGGATGAAGTTTCTGACAACTGGAACAGCAAAGCTGGGGTTGGCCTCCGCCGACGGATCTAGAACAGGAATCAGAAAGAAGGTTGCTTTTCTTTCACATCTTCTTCTGGGCAATGCATATGTTCTCAGACCGGGCTTTTCAAATCTCTCCAGGCCTGTCCATTTCACCTTTCTGACCCCAAGACTAGACTACTGCAATACACTCCTTCCGGGGCTGCACTTGTAGGTTGTTTGGGAGCAGGGGTCGTTTCGTAGAAAAAGAGCTAGGGGAACTCATTAGCATAACTCATTAGCATATGCCACACCCCCTGACATCACCGGAAGTGTGTCATAAGGCCACACCCCCCGCCCCCAACAGTCCTGGCCGCTGCCGCCAGCCTTGCAGCTCCACTGCCGAGTCCCATGAGGGGCACGGCGGTGGACCTGCAAGGCTGGCGGGAGTGCAAGGAAGCCCCGCGAAGGCCCTCCCTGGCCCCAGGCAGGCAGGGGTGGGGAGAGGCAGGGAGGAAGCAACTTACCCTCCCTCTTCTCCTGCCTCCTCCTGGCTGAATGAGGGCCGGAAGCGGGGTGGCCGGAAGCAGGGGGCGGGGCTTCGTCATGTGCCCCGCCCCCATACCTAACCGGGGGAACTGCGATCCCCTGCGATCTCCCCCGAAATGACCTCTGTTTGGGAGTGTCATGCTTCTGGAGAGAGACAGACCACTTTATTCTATTGTGCCAGTGGTCTGGAGAACTTCAGAAGCTGCCTTTGACTCGCGCTTCCCTTCTGTCCCCTCCAGGCCCAACTGTAGAGGCAAACTAGACACCTCCCTGGGGTGCCGGGCAATGCTCCCTCTAAGCTGTGTAGTCTTATGAGCAAAAATTCTATTTTGTGAGCTCCTGGCATTAGAGCTCTGAGCGAGCAATGTGGCTACTGCATAAATTAGTTTACTCTGGACCCATCCTTCCTGAGCTAAGACTCACACCGACTCAGCTTAGAGGGAAGACTGGTGCCGGGGAACGCCCGGAAAGTCACAACTACCTTCCCCCTCACTCCCCCAATGACCCTTGCCCTATGCCCAGAGGAAGGCAATAAACCTCCGGGATCCCTGGGCCAAGGCTACGACTGCAATCTTCCCTCTAAGCTGCGGAGTCTTGTAAGCAAAAATTCTACTCTGTGAGCTCCTGGCATTAAAGTCGTGAGCGAGCGATTTGGCGACTGCATAAATGAGTTTGCTCTGGAGCCCTCTTTCCTGAGCGAAGACAAAAATGTGTGAGCCGGAGGCTAAAAACCTGTGAGCGAGCTCACGCTAACTCAGCTTAGAGGGAACACTGGCTACGAGAGCCGAGCACTGACTCATCCCCTCCTGCCTGCCCTCTCAAGGTCTGCCTAACTCCAAAGAATCAGCACCATTTCACAGAGTAAGCACGCCGGTCCATTCCTGATTTTTTTAGTGTGCTCTTGTGACGTGAGCTGATTACGAAGGAAGGGTGGGGGGGGGATTTACATCTCCTACGACAGTTAAAACCATCTCCTCCCCCCCCCCCCCCCGCCATTGTATCTCACCCTGTGCTGTGGGGAATTACCCAGCAAGCCCCAGGGGCAGAAGCGTTACCTCTCTGCTGATACTTGGAAGTTCCGCCATGAGTTGTATGGCACTGCCATTGTGGGATTGGCTTGAACTATCTACTGGACAGTATCACCCCAAGGGAAGGATTTAAGGAAATGACTGATGCCATCAAAACCACTCAAAGACCATCTCGTTTACAGAAAGCACTTTATTATTGTTATTGTTATTATTCATGATTTTATTGTTTTATCTGGTTTTCTGTATGGGCTTATGCCCCTTGTAAGCCGCCCTGAGCCTGCTCACGGGGAGGGCGGGGTAAAAATGCCTAAATAAATAAATAAATACTGCTCCATCATGAGCCATTTGAAGGAAGGAAGAGAAGGCTTGTTCCCGGCGTAGGCGAGGAACTGGGATGCCAGCCTCCAGGTGGGGACTGGGGATCCCCAGGAATCACAGCTCATCTCCAGACTACAGAGATCAGCTTTCATGGAGCAAACGGATGAGTTGGAGGGCGGACTCTGTGGCATCGTCCCCCACTGAGGTCCCCGTCCTCCCCAGGCTCCATCCCCAAATCTCCAGGAATTTCCCAAACTGGAGCTGGCAACCCTACCCCCTTCCCCTGCAAGTGGTCAGGTCCACCCCGCCCCCAGCTCGAGATCTATCTGGGCCCAAAGACTCCACAACAGAGCCACGTACAAATGTCAGGGGGGGAAGACCCGCATTCGGAATCGGCGGCAGGGGTGTGCTAGACATAGGGTGGCCCCTGGCAATCCCTGCCTATTACCATTGGTCTCCAGACGACCGAGATCAGCTCCCCTGGAGAAAACGGCTGCTTTGGAGGGCAGACTCTATGGCATCGTACCCTGCTGACGTGCCTCAGGTCCCCAAACCCCTCCCTCCCCGGGCTCCACTCCCAAAGTCTCCAGGTATTTCCCAACCCGGAGCTGGCAACCCTACCCCGGGGCAGTAGCTCAGCTCAACACAGGGGCTCAGACCCCTCCCAGCCTCCAGTGGCACCTCCTGGGCCTGCGCAAACCACCAACTAGATCCACAACCCAACACCTGGGGCACTGCATGCGCACCCTCGCTGGCATCTTTATGTCTTTTTTAAAATGGAGGCAGCCCCGGGTTGGACCCATCTAGTTTTGCACTTAGTGATTCTGGAGCCCTGGGCCAGTGTGGTGTCGTGGTTAAGTGCGCGGACTCTAATCTGGGAGAACCGGGTTTGATTCCCCACTCCTCCACTTGCAGCTGCTGGATGACCTTGGGTCAGTCGCAAGTTCTCTCAGAGCTGTTCTCTCAAGGGCAGTTCTCTCTCAGAGCTCTCTCAGCCCCACCCACCTCACAGGGCGTCTGTGGTGGGGAAGGGAAGGGAAAGGAGTTTGTAAGCTGCTCTGAGACTCCTTTGGGTAGTGAAGGGCGGGGTATGAATCCAATCTCCTCCTCCTCCTCCTCCTCCTCCTCCTCTTCTTCTTCTTCTTCTTCCAAGCCCACTGATTCCGATGGATCGAGAAAGGCGGAAGGAACTCTCCTAATGACGGCACGGCTGACGCAGCGTAAACTTTTACGGGGAACCGCCTACTTCGTCCGACCTGTAAGGCGTTATCTTAAGTTGGCATATATACAGACCAAAGCACAGAGGGGAATTTTTAAAGAATGCGGCCGTTCAGCCTTTAAGAGGTATCGGTGAGAGGCGTAGCACGGAAGAAGCATTCCACGGTCTTTGAGAGCCATTGTTTCCAGCCTCCTCCCTGCGCCCCGTGGTCCTCCTATCTGCCAGCCGAGGATCGGCCTTCATGGGATGGACATGGGGAAAGTTTATGCCTCAATAAATCCGTTAGTCTCTGCAGCCCTTCAGGAGGCTGCTGCCTCTGCTGCTAACAGCCCCATAAAGCTGCTCCTCTGGAACATGTCACCAGCGGGGCCCAGGGGATCGTTCTTGTGCCCAAACCTAATATAAGTCGATCGTGTTTATATCTCTTTTAAAAATAGACACCGTCTATTCAAGTAGATGATGTTTTCCTTGATCTAGCCAGTGTGGTGTAGCAGTATTGGAGCACCAGTATTTATATTGGGGTGTGTGTGTGCTAACGAAGTATCTATGGCCAGGCCTGTATTTAGTTTATCCAGGTATTTATACCCTGCTTTTCTCCACAGTGGGGATCCAAAGCCCCTTACAATATCATTCTCTCGTTCTCCTCCCTTTGACAACAGCTCGGTAAGATAGGTTAGGCTGAGAGAGAGACTGGTCGAATCGGCATTTGCATTCTTAAATCAGTTTCGTGCTGCAGCGACGCCGTCTTTCTCTATGCTTGTTTGGAGAAGGTTCATTTAAAGCGGTGCGGAGGCGCGAGGACGGCGGAGCCACCACGAGAGGGTGATCAACATATGTGGACAAGCGAAATTATGCTGGCACAGTTGAAGTGTGAAAACAGTGTGAAAATGAAAGCAAATGTAGACAGGGTTTTTTTTGAAGATGGAGTCAGAAGGCTGGGACACCGGTGGGAAAGGCAAATGCAGATGAGAGAGAGAGAGAGAGAGAGGACAGAGATCAGTTCTCCTAGAGAGAACGGATGCTTTGGAGGCTCGACGCTGTGGCACACCACGGAGGTCCCCGCCCTCCCTAGGCTCCGCCCCCAAATCTCCAGGAGTCTCCCCACCAGTGTTCCCTCTAAGCTGAGTTAATGTGAGCTAGCTCACAGTTTTTTAGTCTCTGGCTCACGCATTTCTGTCTTAGCTCAGGAAGGAGGGCTCCAGAGCAGGCTAATTTGTGCAGTAGCCAAATCGCTCACTCACAACTTTAATGCCATTGGCTCACAAAGTAGAATTTTTCCCCACAAGACTTCACAGCTTAGAGGGAACATTGGCTAGGTCCCCTGGGGCCACCGGCAGGGGATAGGGGGCAGGGTTGCCAGATCCGGGTTGGGAGCAATGTTCCCTCTAAGCTCTGGAGTCTTGTGAGCAAAAATTCTCCTTCGTGAGCGACTGGCATGCAAGTTGTGAGCGAGGGATCTGGCTACCGCACGAATTAGTTTGCCTCTGGAGCCCTCCTTCCTGAGCTAAGACAAAAATGTGTGAGGCGGAGGCTTAAAAACTGCGACCTAGCTCACACAAACTCAGCTTAGAGGGAACACTGGTTGGGAGACTCCTGGAGATTTGGGGGCGGAGCCTAGGGAGGGCGGGGACCTCCGTGGTGTGCCACAGCGTCGAGCCTCCAAAGCATCCGTTCTCTCTAGGAGAACTGATCTCTGTCGTCTAGGGATGAGCTGTAAATCCAGAGGTGCCCCTAGGTCCCACCTGGAGGTTGGCATCCCTCATCTCCCAGCCCCTAGACTGACACTCTAACCAATACACCACGCTTTGATGCAGTATATAATAAAAACCATACATTCCGCACTGGAAAACCCAAACTCTGAAGACTGCGGAACACTTACGAAGTACTTGTTCATTCGCTATAAACGGGGAGGGGCTGCGGCTCAGGAGTAGAGCCTCTGCTTGGCATTCAGGAGGTCCCCCGTTCAACCTCCCAGCAGCCCCAGTTAAAAGGACCAGACCGGAGGTGATGTGAAAGGCCCCTCAGCCTGACACCCGGGAAAGCCGATACTGGTCTGAGTAGACAAGACTGACTGTGATAGACCAAGGATCCGATTCAATAGAAGCCAGCTTCATGTGTTCGTGGTTTCTTCTCACCTGGCAATCATAGGGATGACC